AATTTACTGAATAAAGATGTTTTTACATGATCAGACTTAGTTTTTTTTTTTAATTCTATGCAACTAGTTTCGAAGAAAGAAACCAAACAACTACATTCCCCAAACTGAAAGCTGATGGATGTCAATTCCTTTTCCTGTATTTTAAAAATTAAGAGCAAACAACATCACTATTCACACAGTTTATATTCTTCAAAGACTGTTTTTATTCCTCTTTCCTTTATCACATTTCTTGGGCTAAAACTGCTACTGCTGACTTTGTTCCCATACTAAACTTATCCTGGAGGCACTTTTTGAAGATAAATAAAATACTGGGTGTGTATTCTATAAATAATGAAATGATATAAAAATATGCTGTTATTATGCTAACTTTGGTAAAGTGAGCATGAGGTTAGATCATTGACTTGTTCTTAAAAACTGGATAGGTCTTAGTTATCAATATTTTCTTTTCTGATCATGAATCATGAAGTACTTGGCAATCTGGCTTACATTTTTTCTGAGAATCAGTGTCAAACATTTCAATGTACAATTTCTCAGCTTTACCTCCTAATACTTAAATTTTGAAATGTAAATAAGGCAATTCTTGCCAGACATGATGATGCACACCTTTCATTTCAGCATTCAAGAAAGGAGAATCACAAATTCCAGGCAACCTGGGCAATACTGATAGATCTTTGCTCAAAACAAGCACACAAACAAAATGGCAGTTCTTCAAGTTTCTGGCAAAAATCTTCTATTCTCTTTAAATATAACTTCCTTTTATATAGCAATTTTAGGTTTACCTCAAAATCAAATGGTAAAAAGAAATCATACATAGCTTTTTCCACACAGGCAAAGCTTCTCAAGCTATAAACATTCCACATTACAGATACATTTGTTACTAACAAACTTACATTGACAGATCATTCTCATCCCAAAGCCAAAATTTACATGAAGGCTCACAGTTGTACTTATAACAGGTTTTGACAAATGTATAATGTAAACCCACCAGTAGAGTATCACACTGCCCTAAAAATTCTCTGTGCTCTCTGCCCATTTATTCTTTATTCTTCCCTTTCTTCAGCTTCTGATCTTCTGTCTCCAGAGTTTTGCTTTGCTTTTTCCAGAATGTCTCATAGTTGGAAAAACTAACTATACAACTTTTTCAGACTGGCTTCTTTCATTTGGTAATATATGTTTCAAATTCCTCTGGTCTTTTAAAGCTTGGGCCTTTAAATATCACTTAAAAGGGTGTAATTGGCATGACACATTGAACATCTTTAAATGATATAATTTGTTCAGTTTCAACATACATGTACACCCATGAAACCATGGCCATAATCAAGATAGTGAAACCTGTCTATCACTCCCTTCAGTTTCCCAGTACATCTTTGTTATCCCTCCCTTCTGTGCCTCCTCCCCTTCCCTTATCAATACCCAATCTACCACTGATATGCTTCCTGCCACTACAGATAAGAGCACATTTTCTAGATGGAACTACAAAGTACATCGTGGTTTTCTGTACTGTGAAAGTGTGTGTGTGCTCGCACGTGTATGTGTCTGTGTGTGTGTGTGTGTCTGGCTTGCTACATGTAACATAATTATGTTGTGTGATATATAGCACATTTCTTAATTGCTAAGTAGTAATCCAATATATAAACAGCTCTTTACTTTTCAAAGACTGGTAGAAACACATGTCTCTGTGTGTATGTGCACAGAACTCTACTGTTCACCTACTTTTTCCATTTATTTAAAACAGCTAGAAGGTCTCATTTTCTTATCCACTATGTGGGTTTCAGTTTCAAAGACTAACATTTGAATGGAACAATGACTAGCCTTTTGGAAGATTATTTTATTTCTTTTTTGACTAAAATACTTTGTTCCAAGCATTACTATTTCATGTTATTAGGTATTTTTTTTTCCTTATTCTATTTTTCCAGCACTTAGACTTAGTAAATATTCAAAATTTTCCAATGTATCAGAACTCTCTTAATTACTATAAGCAAGGTCAAGGGAATTAAGAGGCACTATGGCACTGATGAGTAGTAACAATGAAAAAATAATACCAATGAGAATATAGCTGCCTGACTCCAAGAGCAGTTTATAATTATGCACTACTGACAAGAGTTTTACATATTTCAAGATAGATATGTTGAAAATTCATTATAAAATATTAGTTATTTTCTGGTTCTTCATTATAAAGTGTAGACCTCAGGATTGAGTCACATATTTTCTGATATAATCTTATTGTTGTTATTGTTCTCTTTCACAGTACTGGAGATTAAACCCAGGCCCTGTGCAGGTCACACTATCACCATGCCACATCCTCAACCTCATTTTCTCATTTTTATGACAGCCTCACTAAACTGTTACACTGTCAAAACTGGTCTTGAACATGTGATCCTCCTGCTTCAGTCTCTCAAGTAGGTGGGATTACAGAGATGCTCCATCAAGTTTTATAGGTCAAAGTATATTGGTCTAGTACATTATACTCTGATGTTAAAAAAAAAGTCTCCATTTAGAATATGATGGTCCATTTATTTCAAGTCATATGTAATGAAACAAAAGAATCAAGATAATCTCTTTGTTACTGACTTATTAGAAAACCATTACAAAAAATTCAGGTTGTTTACAATGCAATTTCACAAATGGCCAAGAAAAGCCAAATTTGATAACATTTATGGGGCTTAAATTCTTTTTAAGAGGCATCTCAAGATAATTCAGAAAAAAGAGAAGCCAGATAAAGGTGTTCAAGTTAAACATAGCAACAGGCTATAAAAGATACTCTGGAGTTCGGTATTACATGGCTTTTTCTACAACTAAAACTAATAAACTCATAAACTGGATCCAATCAAATAAAACTAAAACTACACTTGGGAATGTGAATAACTAGGATGGTTCAAAATAATTATGAAGAAAATTAGTACGAAGCCAGAGGAAAAGCTCAGCAAGAGTATTTTCCTAGCAGGCTCAAGATACTGAGTTTGATTCCCAACACTGGAAGAAAAAAAAAAAAATAAATGAGCATGAAATTGTCCATTTATGGGCAAAATTGTTAAGCTCCTGAAATAGTCAAGGCCACATAAAAAGTTTCTGCAATTGAAATTCATTAATGTCTACTACGTATAATCTTCACTTGGATGTTTAATTGTATTGCCTAAAACCTAACCTCCCAAATAAGCCTATTCTTTTCCTAAAATTCTCAGTACCTCTCAATTTTATCATTCTTGCTGAAGACAAAATTGTTACTGTCCTCTACATCTCTACAAATAAGCTATTCAAAAGTTGATAACATCTCATCACAGGCACTAAGTCCTATGTTATTTCTGAACAGCACCATGCCAATATCCCCAAACAAGATTTTGATACTTCTGTTCCTGCTAACCCTTTCCCCCAAAGGAGATGTATTTTCCAACTAACTATAATATAGCCCCTTTGAAAAAATCAAGTTTGATTATACCATTATGCATTTAAAAAAAAAAAAAGGACTCCTCTCCCTACAAGGCCTTCCACAATCTGATAGGTCAGTACTCTACAACACAGCCAAACTAGCCTCCAGCTCTCACTCCAGTCTCCACACGACTGCCTCTGGGCTTTACGAAAGTGGCTTCTTACTACACAACCTTCCTTCAGAAAAGAACATGGATCACCCCTCACTTCCTTCCGGTTGATCAAATGTCATCTTCTCTAGAAGGCCTTTCCTAACTACCGCTAATCAAATTGCAACCCATTTCTGGCTCCCTGTCTTCTCTCTTCCCTGTTTCTTCTCTATAGTCCTTAACATCATCTGGCAATGATGTTAATTTACTCCTCCAGTAGGATGCATATTCCATTAATCTGTTTATTAAAATGCCTGGCCCACGATAGGTGCTTAACAGATCTCTACTAAACGTGTTTTATATGTAATTTATAGCCTGCAAAGTATCTTAATGTAAACTAAATTCTGGAAAATCATTTTTCCCCTTATGCTCTCTCCCAAATTCTCTTAATATCTATATGTATCGACATGGATAACAGCAAAGAGCAATCAGCAAAAAAGTTACTTGCAAAGCTCTTTTAAAAAAAGAACAGACCTTGCCTACTAATTAACTACATTAGTAGAAGCTAAGAGTCAATATTTTTATTAGTATAAAGTTTCTAGGTGTGGAAGTTAAATGTTATGGCAGACCAGCCAACAACCTTCAGGAAGAAAACCTCAACTCATTGCGCCATATCAATCTGTTAAACAAACCCTAGGGAAAATGCAAAATTTCCTTAAGGAAACACTGGCCAGAACTCAACACAAATGTGTATTCAACACGAGTCAACACCCTTAAAATTTTTTTCCTCACCCCATCAACTACCAAGCAAGAGCTGTCAGTGGCTGTATGCGATAGGATGAGCATCGACAATGTTTTTCCTGTTTTGTTTATCCCTCTGAGGATTGGATGAGGACGCTTTGCTGAGCTCCAGCCCTCCATCATGAACCCTCGGCCTTTGCGCAGTGGCTGTGGGGTCTCCCTGGGTCATGCCCCTTCAGTTAGCATCTCAGCCACCACTCCGAAGAGGGGCGCGAACCGCGGAGGGCCGTATGCGGAGTCCCGCAGCAGGTGTCACCGGCAGGGAAGGGACAGCGGGGACTCAGGAGCACCAGGGTGGGAATGACAGATGGGCCCGCGGCCCGAAGTGGGAGCCCGGCTCCGGCTGTCACTGCTGAAGAGGAGCCGCTCGGCCGGCTGAGGACAGCGGCGGCGCCGGGCAAGCGCTCCCTGAGGTGAAGCACCGCTCCGCCGCGCCAGCCGGCCAAGTAAAGTTAGTGTGGGGTCCGCGCCGCCCCACAGCCCGCGGGGCCGGAGCCGCCTCAGTCGGGAACGGTGCAGAGCCCCGAGTGCATGCGAGCCCCAGCCCTGCAGAGCTCCGAGCACCTCCGGTCCCCTCAGCTCCCTCAGCGTGCCGCGACCCCGCCCGGGCAGCCCGCCACCTTCCCGCCATGCCCTGCTGAGGTCGAGACCCCGACCCTCTAAGAAGCCGGCGGTCGCCTTTACCTCCGCTCTGCGGTCCGCGGCACGCTCTCAGCGGCTCCACAGAATCCCGACTCGCCACAGCTGCCCCGCCAGCGCGAGCTCTCACCCCCGCCCCCTCAGGTAACCCGGGAAACCGGGAACACCACCCCTTCCTCCCCGGCCCGGACACAGAGCCGCTCCTCTGCGCGTGCGCACAGGCCCCGCCTCGCGCGCCTAGAGTCCCGCCCCACCGGGAGGGCACGCCGGGGTCGCCAGCGTGTTGCGTGGAGCATCTCGGCCAATGAGGGGGAGGGGGCGGGGCCTGTGTGGCCAAACTGAGTTCCACCCTTCCTCCCCCACAGTGTAAAGCTCCATTAGGAGTCTGGAGAGTCTAAGTCTATGAAGTGCGAGCATAATATCTCCTTCCTACTGTATATTCACGTCCCCTGGAACGTTCAGAATGACTGACAGAACTTAGTCATCACGGAGAGACGAATGATCAGTAGCCTGTAAGACCCTCAGAATGATCAGTAGCCTGTAAGACCCTCAGAATGAGGAGTCTTCCAGTTTCGGTCGGTACCCCAAGAACTCAATGTCCAGTCCAGTTGCTGTAACATGCTGAACAGGAAACATTTGTGCAAACGGGCTCCAGCATGCAGGCTAGAGAGAAGCCCCCTCCCCCGGGCCCAGGTGTTTTTAAAGGCAAACCCACAAGCTTAGGGAGGGGGTGTGACCCTCTGTCCATTGAGTATGTAACCCTTTGAGGCCTGATGGTCTCACTATTAGGGTCAACAGACCTTAGGGCCTCAGGGTGTGCTAATTAATTTTGTCTGGGCAAACCGGAGTTGCAGCTATCTCTTTGTTTCCTAAGGACCCTATTCACCACCTGCTGACTCACAAAAAAGGAGGGACAGTGTGAATTCTTGGTATCTTGTTATCTTGGGGCCTTGTGAGAGGAAGTTAGCAAATTCCAAGGAACAGATATTGGTTTCCAGGATAGTCCTTCATTAACTTTACTTTTTTTGTCTTTCAAGCCAAAATTATCTTGAACTATCTTTAGACTCTTTTTAAAGAGCTTATTACCAACTTCTGTAGTTGACCTAACATCGCTGTGGCTATTATGTAAAACGTTTGGAATGTATTGTTAAGCTTAGCCAATGGCTAGCTTTACAGCAGTGCTCAAACGAAAAATATCCTCGAGAGATTTCTGGCCTGTACGCCTGATGTCCCCCCCCCCCCCCCCCGCCCCCAGACAGGGTTTCTCTGTATTGCTTTGGAGCCTGTCCTGGAACTCGCTCTGTAGACCAGGCTGGCCTTGAACTCATGCTGGGATTAAAGGTCTGCGCCAATGCCCAGCTGTCCTTGATGTCTTTTTCCCTTCATTTAGCAAATGTATTGATTTATGGTCTTTTATTCTATGGCTGTAAGATCTCCCGTAAACCTCTCCCACAACTGAGTGTGTAATTCTGGGAAATCTAAAACTATTCCAAAGTGGTGTACACTCAAATTTGCCTCAGAATAAACTTGTAGTCCCATTGGAGCAAGAGATGTTCACATGGACAGTACATGCAATGAACTATCATCCTATCTCAGCTGTAGTTCAAAGGATAAAAAGAAAAATGGAAAGGTTTACCGAGGCGGAAGCAGGGCTTACCCTCAAGATAGCTTTGGGGCCTGACCTTATACTTCAGTCAGGAATTAAAGAGGCTTTCAATAATTCTGGGTCCAGGTATAATACCCTACCTAACCCTGTTCAAAGCACGTTTGAATAGAGTGACAAAGATAACTTACTAAATCCAAACTTTAGTCAGACTTTTGAACCTTCTCCTTGGCCAATGTGCTATGTGTGTTCATCTTTGTAAACTCCAGGTTTAGTGATTGCTAAAGGCAGTTTAGTAAGAACACACACACACACACAATCAAACCCTCTCTATCTAACAAAAATATTGCAGTTCCCACCTTTGGTAACTGTTCATGTTGGCCTGCCTTCAGCAAGAATCTTGTGAGGTTGGTGCAGCCAGTATTCACCAAAGTTGGTATCATCTGTAGGTTCCCATTTCCTTCACTATCAATCCCCACTTATGTGTGTTTAGAACAGAGGCCAGCTCTGTGACTGGGTCTCTTTTGTCACACTAGTCCTGAATAAAATTTGTTTTTGCCACTTTAACTTGTGCCCAGCTCTGTTTTTTTCTGATGACTGTTAATGTTACATACCATAATATACCAGTCTTTCCTGAGCGTGGGAACCACAAGTTAAAGGAAATTTAAGCCTTACCACAGACAGTCCAACTAAATCTAACACTGACAAACACTGCTGTTTTGACATTTTAACACTTGACATTTTGACAGCTTAGAGGCCACCCTTCCTCACCTTCCAGCCACAACTGTGGCAGGTTTTTGAGATATCAGAAGTATGAGGAAAGAGTCAAAGCTATACACATGTATTTGGTATCATTTGGCAGTTTGTAAGCCTTCACAAATAATACACTCATTCAAATAGTCTAAGGTTTACCATGTAGAAGAAAGTGGGGTAGAGCAATTACAATTAATAACAAGAAATATTGGAACCTCCATTATCATCATCACCAAAAAGATACACAAAATAGGGCATAGCCAAGCATGCTGGCAATGGCTTTAATCCCAACACTCCAGAGGCAGAGGCAGGTAGACCTCTGTGAGATCCAGGACAGCCAGGGCTGTTCTGTCTTGGAAAAAGAAAATGTTAGGGTATGTCTAAGAAAAGCCCACAGTGTACAAATGTGAAGAAAGGAAGAAGCTGTGTAAATGACCTATAGAGTCACAACTCTCAGGCTCCCGATCTTTCTCCAGCCCAGGCCCAAGCTTTTCTACCTAAATAAACTATCCTTTGTTTCCACCATTATCTTATATATCCCTAGTCCAACTCCTTGCTCCAAGATAAAAGATCCTAGAAATTCCAGTGGATAGATTCTGTACTCCAGCATCTGCCTATAATAGTAGGGATCCCTGTAGCCCCAACACCTCCAGTTGCTTTTTGCACAAGAACTGAGAAGTAGAAAGAATTCCGGATGTTATATCCAAAGGCTATTTGCCAAATGCAACTCTTAATTCCTCAACTCCCTTATGGCCTGATGATAAAGCAGAGTAAACAGTTGCCCATTGATGTGGCTTAAGGGGGCTCGCTGGGAAAATTCCTCTCATTAAAATAACTCTATCTGACTCCAGTGTTTAACCATAAACAGCTCATATCTTTAGACAGAGGTTACCCACTTCCTCTGGCAGACAGTCTTTTAAAATGCCAGTACTCTAGGGATGGGCAACACACAAAGTCTCTAAGAGTCAAATGAAAGAAATGCCATGAAATGGGCACTTGTTTAACAAATATATAAATAGCATCTCCTAGGTGCCAGGATCTATGCCCAGCACAGTACCAGGCACTTGAAACACTGCAATGTCTCTAAACTCAAGAGAAAGAGGGTTAAACATAACTGGTCACATATTTACTAAGGCTGAATCTACTCTTGTTCATGCAAGTTCACCCACTAATCTAACTACAACAATAAAAAAAACAAGCAAACAAGCAAAGCTTTTTAATAAACAAAAAGTCACAGAAACATCAAATAACAAACTGCATTGTTTCCTTTGAAAGGAAGATAAGAGATGAATGATCAGGACTTCATTAAAGCAAAAGAAAAAAATCAGAGACATTACATAACAATGGTAATCATTGGCCCTCAAAGAAGTTTCACTTGTAAATCTAAATCATATGGCATTTTAAAAAAGACATTACAGTATTTATTTTGAATTCACTATACATTTTAGAATTAATCCAGGTGTAATAGTGAACACTGGTAATCTTAGCATTTAAGAGACTGAGGAAGGACAAATTCCACAAATTCAATGCCATCCTTGACAACTTGAATTTGGTTTACTTAGAACTCACATGGTATAAGGAAAAAAAATTCCCAATTCTAAAAGTTGTTGTCTGATCTCTACATGTGTTTCATGGCTTGTGCAAATGATATACACCCACACATGCACAAACACTACAAATAAACAAACATATAAGTAAATGTAAAAAATACCAATATATAATATTAGAACATTAACATTCAGGCAATAATAGCATAAACAAGAGGATCAGGAGTTCAAGGTCATCCTTGGCTACATAGCAAGTTTGAGGCCAGCCTGAGTGCATAAGACCCTTTATCAAAGCAATGAAAACAAAAATGAGTAAATATGACTAGCTAATAGAATGCTAAGTATATGATGCAAGCTTAACGCATTTAGTCTAAGAGATTTCAAATATCCAGGCAATGGTGGTGCATGCCTTTAATCCCAGCACTCAGAAGGCAGAGGCAGGTGGTTCTCTGTAAGTTTGAGGTCTGCCTGGTCTACAGAGTGAGTTTCAGAACAGCCAGGGCTGTTACACAGAGTAACACAGTCTTGGAAAACCAAAATAAATAAATAAATAGACTTTAAAAATATACATGGTAATGTGCACATCTTCACATTAATTGTTCCCTAAATGCCTTCAAATTTGTGACTTTAAAAAGTGACTAACAGATCACATGGTTCCTCATTTCACTTAGGCAAAAGCAAAACTCCTTGCAATGACCTTCAGAGCTTAATATGTGCCCCAGAACTTCACCTCCTCTCTGTCTTCCTTCCTCACAAACAGACTCTTCACTGTTAGGAATATACTTCCAGCCAGACAAGTTCCTGCTTTTAAGATCTTGCACTTCCTAGCCCCTCTGCACAAAGTGCTTTCTTTCTAGATAGCCACAATGATTCCCTTGGCAGCTCTGATGTTATTTCCCTCAGTACATCCACCCTCAGTACTGCAGTGGTTCCTCAGCAACAAAGACTTCTGCCCTGGGACCCTGTGCCTGAATTTCTCTCATAAGACAAATAGCCTCTAAATAAAATTTTAAATTTAGGTCATTTGTCACTTGGGGTTCTAGACTTCAGAGGGATGACAGGCCTATTCCACCAGGCACAGCCCTTATGCTTATTCTTATTATCACTTCCATTTAGAATACAGGATTCACAAGAACAGCAATTTTTTTGTGCTAGACTATGTATCATGAGTGCAAGTCCACATAGCATAACCTATCATTTTAAACATTGTTTTTCATAGCACCTATCAATTTTAACACATTTAAATGGTTTATTATTCATTTTTGTCTTTCTGGAAATTGAAC